AACATTCAAGAATCAGCTCCAAGAGGGGGCCATTCCTCTCTCTGCCCTGAAGGCCCAAACACCACACCCCAGGCTTCAGAGCGCTGTAACATGCGAACACTAGTGGGAGATAGAGTCTACTCTTTGGTCTTAGATAATGCCCAGGGCTGTGCCAGCCTTCTCTGTCAGCAGGTCATGATGCAAATTCAGGGGTATAGCTCTGCCTTCACACCCAAAAATCTCTGTCCCTATGGCTATCAGCCAGGCCTTCCACACTAACGCCTGGGCCAGGATAGCTTAACCCTGAGGATCAGCTACCCTCTCCCCAGTGAAATTTCATCTGCCTATTCCCTCCTCTTGCTCCTCTCTTTCTCCTAGGGCCCTTGCTTTGCTGATTTGCCCAGCCAAGCCAGGAAAGGAGAGGCAGAAGAACCCCAGCAACATCGCGTACCTAATCCAAGAGAGTCCCTTGCTCAGCGCGGGAAGAAAACAACTCTTATTCTTTCCACTGCTGCGCAGGGACTGTCCAGAGGCAGCTTGTTTCAATCTGTATCGCCAAGGGAACTGGAACAGGCCAGAGCTCAGCCCCATCCAAGCCCTCGGGCGTGATGAGCTCGTGGAGCTGACCAAGAGGAAGGCGTACAAACCACAGCCTGCCCTAAGCCACACTTTGCCTCCAGCACATGACAAAGCACAGCACGCACAGCAAACCATCCCTGGAGCTTATAGCAACAGAGCGAGGCAGACTCCCTGCACAAACCCTCTAGCTTAATCAAGGAGTCTCCCTTGTTCAGTGCTGGAAGAAAATAACTTTTAGCCTTCCCATTGCCAATAACAAGAATAGCAAGGCTATTTCAACGTTGTTGAAAGGCTTCCCACACATTTCACACCGCCATGGAATTACCATCCATAAAAGTCTCTGACTTTTATCAAAAGATACAGCAGCTCACAATACAGTATGCGGGAAGGATACATACCAGACTAACTCTTCAGCACTCAGGATTTGAGCTAAGCTTTCATTAGTACAGAAGAAGACATACAGCCCCTATGGCTCCTCCACCTCCTGCCTGCTTCACCATGGGGCTCGCTAGCTTCCTGACAAACACATGCAGTAACTACACACGCACTCATCACTATAGAAATGTAAAGACTGCCAGACACGTCCCTTTCCATTGCCCCTTGCTCTGTCCCACCAGGCACAGGGCAGTCCACGCACGGCACTGTCCTGCTGCATTACACTCCTAGGCTCAGCACAAACCTTTTACCATAGGCAGGGGCGTGGGGTGGGCCAGCAGTTTGTTTGCTCTTCCTCTATGCCGCTCACCCAGCGAGAAACGCCTGGTAGCCCACGCCTTGCTTGGGGTAGAATGAGCTACTTGGAGTGAACTCCACATTTACTCTGTGCACTTGCACCGATGGTAGTAGTGGCTGAAAAGAGTGCAGGTCCTTGCTCCAGCCTCCCTGTGCACGCACACTTCAAGCTCACAAGGCTGGCCAAGCATCTAAGCCATCCCTGCCTGCTGCCTTTCCTGCCTTGGCTTTGTGAATGAGAAGCATTGCACCTGGAAACCTACTGCTTTTAAGTGCTCTTAACAAGAACTACATCCAGCAAAGCCACAAAGACACCTTCAGAGGCTTAACAAAGCCTTTACAGTGGCAGCCCTCGCCTTTCCTGGGACCTCTTTCTCCCCCTCCTCCCACCCCTCCATCTGCTGCTCCTCCTCGGGCCATTTTAGCCTCTGCAGCACAGGAGCCTTTGTGCCCTGCAAAGCCCCCTACCTACACACCTCTGTCACTGTACGAATCGTAAGTAATATATTGCAGCTCTAGCTTCTGCAGCCAGCAAGAACCACTCACAGCGAGGCTGCTGTAACAAAAAGCTGGTAAGGAGCTTTTTTTTGTTTTGTTTTGCTTTCCAGGACCTCAAAAGATAAAACTGGCATGACTGCCTCTCCTCCCCAGCTCCCGCAAGGGGGAGTGTACGTAAGAAGGTTTGTCCATCCCGCTCCTAAGCAAGGAAGGGTAGCACTTGCACTTCATTCACCTGCTCCTCTCCCAAGCTTACCTGTCAGCATCAGTCACCAGGGCCAGACGTCCATAGTCCCAAGCAACTTTACGCAGAATTGAAAAGACAAACAACAGTGCCTAGAAGAGAGTGAATGCAGAGTTACAAGACAAGGATCGTCCAGCTCTGGCCCTGTCAGGTGGGCTGAGCCACTGGAACAGCAGGGTGAGGAGGGGACAGGGCTTCTCCATTAACAGCAAAACAAGGCTGTGGGGCAGCACGAGTTCCCCGCGGCTCTTAACGTCTGAACATTTGGATGGCTGAAGGAGGTGGCTGTGGCAGGCAGAGGTCCAGGACACAACACACAATGGCTAAGTCTTTAGGATCAACAAGGGGGTCTACCACAAACCCTCAGGTCCCAAGAAGGTGAGATTATGGCTATAATGTCTGTGGCCCTGCAGCTCCTAAGGAGGAAGCACCAGAGCCTCTGGGTGGGTAAAGCTGCAGGGACTTCACCCTATAAGCTGGAGTTCCTGAATGCAGGACTGACCTAACCCAACCCACGTTCTCAGGAAAGTTAGTTCACAGCACCCTTCTCTGGGCACCACGCAGCAGTACTGGAGTAAAGTCAAGGCCCAGAGCAGCTAAGGGACATGATCAGGGCCACAGAGCCAGCCAGCGGCAAAGTCAGGAACAGAGTCTGGGACCTAGACCAGACCAGTCTGGGACCTAACCAGTAGACCACAGTCCTCCCTTCATGATTAATTACCTTGCTGAGCCAAGCATATGAAGCCCTGAGCTCTCCCTCTGCCCAAACCTACCCCCTTTTCTTTACCATGGCAGGAATGGTAGGGGAGAAGGCACCGAAGCAGCGGTAGGGAGACTTACGAGAAAGCACATAAAGTCGAGGGCTAGGACAGTAGGCACCCCACCAAAGGGCAGCCCCTGCAGCACTGTGCTGCGGATGCGGGCGCTGTAGCAGTAATCCTTGGTGCTGTTGTTGCAGGTGGAGGCTTTGCAGGTGGCCCCTGCTGAGCCCAGGGTGGCTATCACGTAAGGAAGCATCTCTACAGCTTCATTGTCTTCCCTGGGAAAGAGAGAGAAAGGCCAGGTTAGACGCACACCCGCTGGACAGAGCTGTAGCCAGGTCGGAGTTCAGAGATACAAGCACAGCAGCTTGAGGGACCAGCCTAACACGCCATCTCCAGGCTCTCCTGTGCAGCAGGATCTCACTGGGTACCTGCATCCAAAAATAAGTGTCTCTTGAAGAAGCCTCTTGCGTCGGGGCGGGGGGGCTTCAAGAGTCTATAGATGCTTCAGTAGCTGGACCCACTATGCAGAGTCCCAAACCTCCTTTGCTTGTTCTCCTACCCCCAGCACCTCTTTCTCATGGATTGCTCCTGTTCCTGAGAGCTTTTCCCTCGGTAGCAAAAACATTTAGTCGCAGGAAAGAAAGAATAGGTGTGGGGGGGGTGTTATGTCACAGCTGGATGATGAAAAACTGCTCTGGGACAGTTGCTGCATCATGATCCCACAATTTCCTTTTCCTGGCTGTGTGCCACTAGCTTTATTAGGCTGAATCACCATGCTCTGCTCATTGCAGGCCTCAGCCCCAACCTCCCAGAGCCCCATCAGAGGCTGGTTCCACCCTCTGCGTGTTTTCTTCCCTTCCTCTGGCTCGGATGCATTCAGATGCAACCACACAGAGGGCAAAGAGACGCTTAGGATCTAGCCAGTCAAAAATTTTATTCCAGCGCTCTCCCCAAAATGGTACAAGGCACCCAGCTGGGCGGCAGCCAGCGCAGTCATTTCACATCTTGGGGATGGGGAGTTCTTCCTCCTGTGCACAGCAGCTCCACGTGAAACAGAGACCATGCTAGATATGATCAAATGCAAATCAAGCACCATTGAGATGGTCTAGAAAGGACAAATCAACGGCAAAAATACAATCGCTTTGTGGAACAGGGGAGAGAAAATCCCCTCAGCTGCTGAAGAAAGAGGCAACAATAGACATGAAGGCTCTAGACCTGGGCTGCAGAACCCTGAACAACCCCTCTTTATCTAGCACCCACCATCCCAAACCCTCCATTATCCAGTTCACAGTATGCCACGAAAAATGGCTGGCTGGCACATCACCACCTCTGGGAAACATTCAGTGGTTGCTTACCCAAGCCCAAAGAAGCCATTCTGGTAGGTTAGACAAAAAAAAAAAAAAAAAAAAAAGAGTTGCCACTCACCCAAAACACAAGATAGCCACCACCATTGCCCTGTGCAGGTTTTGGCTTCTTGTCCCAGAAAGGCTCCTTTCCTGCCCTTCTAACTCCACATTGGATCAGAAAATTAGAAGAGAGGGCCCAGGGCTCTTCCTTCCAGCTGATTGATGTATTCTGGCAATCTCTCACTTAGCTGCAGAGATTTATCAGCATCACAGCACAATGCTGTCTCAATAATGACCATCAGGATGTTTGCCGCGGTGTCCTAGAGAGCTCAACTTGAAAGCAATCCTTCCCAGCTCAGCTGAGACAGAGGCATGAACACAAACCCGCTGAAGCACTGATGACAAAGGGTACAGCAACAAGCAATAGCTCGTCTGAGCATTAAAGGGGACAGCTGACTTGTAAAAGCTACCAAGCAGCCTGCTAAAAGAGATTCACAGGTTAAGCACCACAGAGCAGCTGCCAGGAAAAAGGGAGTGAAAGAGCAGGGGGAAAAAAAAGGCCAAGCCAAGTAGTTGGGAACTAAAGAGCCAACAAGGATAATTCATCCCATCCAAATTAATAAGAGATTCAGAAGCTCCAAGAGAGAGACAGAGGCAGTGCGCTCAGAACCTGAGAGCAGCTGGCAGGAGGAGAAGGGACAGCAAATTTCATGGGAACCTGCAACCAAACAGCACTACAAAACTCAGCAGTCATGATAGCATCTCCCGCCAGGTCACGGAGGGGAGACTCCTGGCTTGACACAGTGTCACCACCCTGCCTTGTATGATATAGGCAGTGTGGCACAAAGGACTTTTCCCTGCCTTCAACACATCCTGTGACAATTTCTTTAGAAGCGCTGATGAAAGGAAAGAAAGACAGGCTGGAGGAAGATAGAGGGAAAAAAAAAAAAAAAAGGAAGAAAGGAAGACAGACTAACCACTCTCACTGCTGTCTCTCAAATATTGCCTGCTCTCTTTTGACCCTAAGGAGAGCCATCCAGAACCGCACATGACATCCTGGATAAAGAAATAACCTTGACTTCTAGAATAGCATTCTGATGCTCTCAGCATTTCTTCTTATGCTATTCCTCGTGCACCTGAGCATGATTTACTTCTCCGATTGCATCCTTGCATATTGAGGAAAAGTGTCGTCTTCAACTGGTCTGCAACAACATTGCTCTGAGTAGCTATAACTAATTTAGAACCCAGCAATGTCCAAGAACAAATCATTCCTTCCAATATACCTGGCTTTGCATTTCTCAGTACTAACTTCCTTCTCCTCTCCTGCCACTTAATGTTACACCGTGCCACTTCTGATTTACTTTATCTTGACAAATCTGAACAACTCCAGGTTATTTGCAGATTTTGGGTACCTCATTACTCATCATCTTTTCCAGATCATTAATAGTGAACATTCTCGTCCTTCTGCTTTTGTTACTCTGGAAACCGCTCGTTCATTCTTGTACTTTCTTTCTGGACACTTGGCCAGTTTTTGATCTATGACTGCACTTTACATCTGTTCCCATGGCTAGCTTTCTTAACAGTCTTTTGTGAGGAAATTCAGAGTTTTCTGAACATCCAAACAAGCGACACAAGCTGGCTACCTATTATCTATTCTTTCACTGACATACTGAAACACTTGCAATAGATCAGGGAGGTGTGATTTTTCTTTGCAAAGACCAAACTTTGACTTGTCATTACTGTATGTCTTATAGTCCTCCTTGTAGTCATCTTTCTGAAAGAAAAGACGGTCATACAGTCACATTGCTTATGTACCTACAATAATCATTATTTATAAAAACCATTACATGTTCAAAACAAACACTGGGTTCAAAACAAACTGTGGGTAATTTAAACCACATTTCACAGAGAGAGGTCTCAAAGTTGTGATTTTTCTAAAGCCCAGAGGATGGAATGGAAGGGACTGCAGATAAGCCTAACTAACCTCTCCAGTAACCTGGCCAGAACACCTATTAATGGAAAAGCTGTAGCATACAGTCGAGACATACACTGCCTTTTCATCAGGCCAGTCACTGCATCTTACTGCCCAGCCAGGCAGCACAGAGTCAATCAGCACCATCCTTATGGCACGCAACCGCCTGCCCAATAGTGAGTGCAAGAAGGGGCTCCACATGGAGATACGGGTGCTACACGTGTGTGGAACAGCCTGGCGAGTTTGCAAGGATAACAGGAGCATCTCTTTCCTCTCCCTCCCAGCTTCCCCAACGTCCACGTGCACACCCAGCAGCAGGCTAGAAAAAAAATCTATTGTCAGTAACATCACTTCGGGTCAGACTCACCAAGGCGCCCAGCTTCTTGCAGGATTACAGTAGGAATTAGGCAACTAAGCAAAAGCTTGGTGACTATCTCTGCAGGTTTGATCGATAGTGCCTCCTTAGCATTCTTCATCCCAAGACTCTCCCCAGGAACCTATCAACTCAGCAGGATGCGAGCTGGTCTCTCCATCCTAGCTAGGTAGGGACTGTCGTGCCTGAACTGCAGCTGAACACCAGGGTCACTTGGCAAGTCTGAGCTGAGTTTCCTAGGGGAACATATAAGGAGGAAGCATAACAATAAATATCAAGTTCCCAGTGTCTTCTCATCAGACCAGACTACCTTTTGGGGGGAAGATGAACAAGCCAGTTAGGTAGGGGAATTCTGGGTTTTGGAGAGATTTGTCACTAGTCCTTTCCAGTCTACTCCCTGCTTTCTGGCACCAATCCCCGGTGTCCTCTTGTGGTGCCACTACAGCACCTCATCCTGTTTCTGTCCCTACTACATGTGCTTGTACTTTCTCCATCTTCAAAGGTAGCTACCCCAGGAAAGAAAGAGTTAAACCAGTTGGTTTTAGCCAAATGGAATTTGCAGGCCTCCATACCTTGCTGTCCTCCACAGTTCGGAGGGAAAGA